GCCTTTTACTTTTTGAATTGCTTAAATATTAATTTGCGATCCCCAAAAGGCGCATTCATTTTTACCTGAGAGAGAATATCAAGAAAGAAGAAAGAATTGCAGAAATATGAAAATTTACCCCTTATGTCAAATTTCTATAAAATTAATGGACATTTCACGACATACTTTCATCAAAATATTTATTTATAGCAAAGAATTCGAAAAAAAAAATCAAAAAGATAACTTTGGTTCAAATCAGCGTATTTTAAAGTACTGACGCTCAATTTTTTATCACCCTTTTATTGATTTCAAGGCATTATACCACAAAACAAGGATGGAATGTCACATCACAACATATGGGATATCATATGAAGCAAAAAGAGAATTTAAAATCCCTAACCAAATCATCTCTTTCAAGCGTATTGTAAATGTAATATAAAAATACAAAATGTGTTACCCAAAGCCAGGTAGAGGCTTTTGACATGCTTTATTTTTAATATTATATTAGAAAAAATCATCAAAGTTTAGAAATAATGGCATTTTATACAATAAATCCATTCAAGTGCTCCCTCACACTGTCGTTTGTTACCTCGATAAGATGCTATATTATCAAAATTTTGAATATATTATCGATAAGTCTAATAAACGACACAATTGTGTTTTGGTTTCAGATTGATTTAAGCCTTTAATTTCCCTGACATTTTTTTGTTGCTGTTGTTGCGTATCCTCTCTGTCTGACGGAGTTAGACAAGATCCACGAGTTCGTTGACTGAAAGGAAGTCGAAGACTAGGAGAGGATTGCTATAGAGATCCTCCTTACAGAGTCCCATGCAATCCAAGAGGTGCTAAGGAGAAGCCTGATGAATTTGGCACTTGGTGCAGGTGACGAAGGTTTTCCTGCCCTCGTTGAAAGTGAAGTACTTGATGTGACCACTAGCAAGCCTTGATAGAACAGTCCGGGTACGTCTGTCAACAGTGTTACAGTCGGGCACCCTCCTCAAGTCCTACTGTTTGCCTCATCGTGGAGGGAGAGTGACCCTGGGCGGAATGGGTGAAGTACGTCGGGAGTTTACTTCTGGTAGGGCCACCCAAGGAATGAAGGCCATTCCATTATACCCAGCTAAATATCAGTAGGCGAAGGAGCCAAGACAGACTTCTATCTACTGGTCATCCGGTCCTTGGACTAACTGAAGCTGCACATTCCCTCACCAATGACTTCGTTGACATTTTCTGGATCTGCTAGACGTTATTCTGAACTTAGTATGTGTCTCAAATTAGATACTTCACCCTTTACAAAATTGATTTCTTTTTTAATTTACTATAAAACTTAACGTAGCTAATCCGACTAATAATTAAGACTTGTATTAAATTACTTAAATGAGTATTCCAATTATCTGAAAATGCTGCTGATTCACACACTGTGCAAAATTACCTATATTCATAAAATGCCATATTCATCGCGTGTTGAAATGTAGGGGATGCATTCATTAATCCCAACGGCATTATCTTCCATCTATATTGCGCACGATGCGTTTTAAGCGATTTAAAATATCTACTTTCACGATACAAATAAATTTCCTAATAACCCTTTAGAATATCGCAAGTTGCAATCAAGTTTGTCTTACCAATGCAATTATTTAATCCCACTGCATTTTCCAATATTATTTTTAAAGGAACCACGCGAAACTTTCGTCGCTGTCCAGGAAAAATATTATCAGTCGAATTCTTCAAGATCAATAAATTTAAAATCAATGTAAGCAATAACAAATTGTAAACGTCATCAAATTGAACCGAATAAGGAAAATCTTAGTCAATTATTTCGATCAGAGGATTGCAACCCTCAAAAAGCTCAACAAGCAAAGTGGCATTAGAAAATGGGGTAGATCTTCACTTAGATGGTTTGATGAAACCGAAAAAGATTTGAAAACATTGAAGGTAACTAAATGGGGTAAAAACAAGCATCTGACCGATTCCGCCGATAAAATTTCATAGGGGTGATCCTGCCCTGGTCAGAGCTATTATGTCAAAAACCAAAAAAAGGTCTCAATTTGATTGCCTATCCTTAGATATGCTGATTTCTGAGCATAATACTTTTATCCTCAGAATTAGATTAAAAAAAACGTACTTTATTTATATAAATATACTTTTTTCGATGAATATTGACCCTTCAAATACGGAAAACACACGCTTTGATGGCCTCAACAGTTTAGATGGAAGAACAATTGAAAGTTTGATATTTTCAATGTTAGTTAAAATTCTTCTTCTATAACCATTCAAACACTTCTATTACCATTCTCAAGGATATCGTATTTTAACACTTTAACAGCTCTAGATTTGTCAGGACGGATTATTTTAAAATTTTAAATTTTATTATTTAAATTCTCTTAGCTTAAATTTTTGAAAACATTTCTCACATTAAATTTATTAACAGTTATAAATTTCACATGATATAATCTTTGGATAAGCAAGTTTTCTAATTGCGTGCAAAATTTTTTTTGATTTGCTTCTTTAGTTTGGGAGATATTGCGAAGTACGCAATATGTAAGATTTACATTAAGGAGTTTAAACTTTCTACCTTGATTCTGATTAGATGTGTGCTCCCTATTTGTCAAATTGCGGATGTCCCCGATATTTTGAGGATCAAATATCGGGGGAAAAATTTATGTTTAATTAGCTGAAATATGCTTCTGTGTCTGATATCGTAACCTCATATGTAGTATTCAAAAAATATTCTCTTTTTTTTGCATACTGTATTTACTATTCAAATGTGTGCCATAAAAAATGTGAAGTGAAGGGGTAATAAATTATTATATAAATTATTAATTAAATTAATTTTAGTAGTCAATAAATAAGGATTGCGGTTGATGGAAATTTATTGGAAATTTATCATTGACTAAATTATGTTATATTAGTTAAGGCACATTTTAGTGAAAGGAATACTTAGATACATACATTTCATATTATGTTTTTGCCATATTGATCGAAATGGTAATTCATCGACGTTATTCAGCAACAACTCAAGTTTTTATTAAAGAATTATTCCAGTAATTTTTTTTAAAAATTATACAGAATATTTTAGAACCAAAAAAAAAAAAAAAAACATGAGTCCACTACAAATTTTCACAGAAGTGAATTTTGTTAATTTTGGTTTAGTCAGTGATTTCTTTTACCTTCTCATCTCGAGGCAGGAAAGATGATTTGGATGATAAGGACGTTAAGAGAAGCCAACAAAATAGTCGTCGTTTCCGTAGGCAGGATAAATCAAGTAAAGCGATAAAACACCGTTTGTTCGTTGTTGAACAAGAATTAAATCGTTATTATCGGAGGCCCAGCGGAATTCGTTAGTATTTAATTAAAAAAAAACAGCAAAGTAGTGGTAAACTTGCGCCTCTCTATGAAATTATTTTTGTATGAAATATTTATGGAATTTCACCACAGAATGTTTCTTTCATGCCCGGCATGAGAAGAAAAATATTGTGGTGAAAGGCCATTTTTGCTGTCACTGGGGCGAAAAAAAAGCAGGGGGTAGGGTGAATTTCAAGAAAGAATATTTATTACATGGTCTAAGTGCGGATGAAATATCTCAGTATACTTGAGCTTGTTTCTTCCAGAAAATTGAAGTTCTGAATAAACTTGTTTTCGCCCTACTTATTTTTTATCAGCAGAATTTTATTATTGGAAAGGTGAGAGAAGAAGTGAGTGACAACTAACAATTGAAACAATGTTGAAAACGCCGTGTCGATCAAAGGAGACGATAAACAGGTGCAGCGGCGCCTGTGAGACAGAATTTAGAAGGAGTGATTGAAGCGCCGGCCTTAAAATGGGTAAAACGTGCGAAGTGCAAGTTGTAATTAGGTCAGCCCATGTCACTGTTGAGCCTCAGTAAGTCTCATTGTGCAGGGTTGTTTTAAAATCTACTTTTTGATACCTCAGTAATAGTAATTTTAACTCGGAGTAAGATTCTCTGAAAGCTTGATGATATAGTAGTTAACAAGTACTTGAGTAGTTTCTGTGAATATCCCATTTTCACAGCAAATTAGCTTCGAAATGACTCCCAAACAGGACTGAAAAATTGCATTTGTTCTTCCATTACTAAAGTGTATAATGAGTCGAATTCGGGGTACGATTTTCTCGAAGCGTGATGGCATACTAGACAACAAGTACTTGAACAGTTCCTATGAAAACCTATCCAATTTTTGCAGAAGTTGCATCTTATTTTTGAAATGACTCTCAAACAGGAATCAAGTTGCGAACTCTTCATACCAGGCAAAATAGTAACCTCGTTATAAGTAAAACTCCAAGCGAAAATAGCAATACCATGCCAAGAGAATATTAAGCTAAGCTCATACTAGGGGGGACAATGGGACGCACCTGAAAGCAATTACCCTTATCTTGACAGCTGAAGTTTTGGCGAGGTCTACAATGAGCTGAGTTGCAATTGTTCTCCCACAGCTAAAGGGTAAAGTTAGGAGATCAGACAGACGAATGACAGTGAATCAGACAGTTATTAACTTAAATTCCAGATAATCGTCGGAACCATGTCATTCATTCATTAAGTTGTTGTCATTCCTTAACAGGAATCTAGAGTGATTTTTGACAATAAGAATCGAATGGGGCTCTAAAATCTCAAAATGGTAAGGGAACCTATTTACTTAAACACATGCTTCGGTGCGGGGCTGTTCATTGAAATAACTGCTAAACCGTGGCACTTCCTCCACTATAATGTTAACTTTCCTTAATACCCGAGAAATGCTTTATACGTTATGTTTGGATGAGTCAATTTTTAAAAAAAATTCAATAAAAGAAATTTTTTTTTTCATTTTTAATTGTTTCTAGTGGGACATTTTGTAAATTTTGATTGTGTATATATTTTGGAATTGTATAATGTATTATATGCATTTCAAGGCATAATAAAAACAACATGTTATAGCACATTGCAAACATATATATAACAGAATTTGAAATTAAATGCTTACAAGCTTTTAATTTCAAATTTCAATGATTTTAATTTTTCTTTACAGCTTATCATACTTCAAGAAGTCAAGTGTTCCTACAGAAAATTTTTATGGTTTTTTGAGTGGCTGTTATACTTTTAATACTGTTTTTGGAAGACCAAATGCAAAGCCAAGTGTAGTGACTTCAAGCGGAAGTAAATTATAAATTTTTATTCCCTCGTATCGTGAAACTTTGAAATCATCTATGAAAACTACCAAACATTTTAAAATTGCTTCCCACTTAGCGTAACAAAAACTTTTAACTATGAATTACCAATTTCATTTTTTAGAACTAAAATAACTTAGTCAATAATTGAAAATAAATTATTCTAAATTAAATAAGATTATCTCAAGTTAGAGAATATATCTTTTAAATAGAATATTATGAAACCATTCAGCCTGTATTCCCAGCCAAAATATTCGTCAGAAAATCTTTAAAAAAAGCAATCGAAAAACTTTGCAAGAAATCTGTTAATTTTTTTTAAAAACAAATCCCTGAAAACCTTTAAAGTGTGTCATGGTAAAGTGTGTCAAGAAAAAAACGAAATAATAAAAGTTAACAAAAAAAGAAAAAAACGAAGACAAAGATAATGAAAAAAGATATTAATTAAAAGTAAAAATTTATGTTAAGCTCTTTGTATTGCCCAGATAGATAAGTTGTGTTTTTAAAAATAAATATGCAAATTTCTGCTCGTTTGCTATTTATTATATTTCATTCAATTATTTCAGCTATAGTTCTCAATATATCAATTGATGAAAGTGAATATATATATCTTTATCATCCTCCTGAAGGGTTGATATCCTTCCACAATCCGTACCACATTGTCAATCCTCACATGAAAGGCTTTAGTTTATCTATGAAAGCACAACGACATACTTTTCATTTAAAGAAGGTAACTATATTTAAACTTTGAAACTCGTACTTTTATCCCATTAACTAGATAAATATATGCTCTTCGCTCTGGGAAAAAAAAATAAGCAATCTTTTAATAGGTAGTTATCTATACTACGATATAGTGCAATAAGCTGAATCAAGTTTATAAATATAATAAAATAAACTAAGTTTAAGAAATTTTTTTGACAATTATTTTAAGTAGCAATCAAAGGAATCGATCCAAATTACAAGCTAATTTTTATTTTTTCAGCCATAATGTGCTCAAAAATATTAATTTTTGTTTGTAATTTATTGTCAGTCTCTCAAACTTTTGAAAAATTTAAAATTTATTGATGAGTATTACGTATTTCTTGAAAAATGTAAAAAATCCCAGGAACTGTAAATGTTGCTTCCCATTCTTGTAGACTTTGCCGTAACCAAACTGAGACTTGATTATCTCTTGAGAGAAAGTAATAAAGATCTCAGAGAAGAAAAATTCGAGTTTTTTTTCCCAATCAAAACGCAAAAAGGAGTACACTGGGTTATGACACTCGAGCGAAGCGTTTTACGAAAATCACTACAAGACCAAATGTAAACCTAGGCTGTTGAAGCCGTAACAACAGAGAGTGCCCAAGAGCACTGAGCTGATATCGATGCAATCGCTTAGAGAACATGGCCATAGACTGTCAGAGCGATGAAACCTGCTACAATTGTTACGAGACCGGACATCATGGAAAGACTTTCAGAGAGAAGATCAAATGTGTTAGCTGCTATTAAACAAACGAGAAGTTTGGATCACGTTTGAAAATTAACCATAGTGTCTTGAAAAGATCCTGTCCGTCATTCCAACCAGCAATAGAAAGAATTAAACGAAAACCGTATTAGAACTAAACTATTTCTGGAATCGATTTGTTATTATAAGCCTATCTTGGCATTCTACAATATGATGCTCCAATCAAAAATTTTTTTATTTATTTATTTTTAATTATTTTAAAATTAGTTTGTAATAGGTTTTAATAAAGCTGGTTAAAGGCCTTCCATCCGGAGGGCTGCATAACTGGTGGTTGTTACTCTGCTGCTGACCCGGGTTTGGCCATCAGCTGCAGTCGGGTTGGCAATGTCGCCCAGTGGCCTTAGAATTAGTGTTTGGTGTGGGCAAGATTCCTCAATTCATGGACGAAATTGCGGTGCTTTCCTCTTGCGTAACTCGGGACCTTGCGTCTTGGATCCGCTCACTAGATGCTTCGTTCGGACTCGGTGTGTTCACTCACGACGACTTATGCCATTCTGGCGATTGGCCACTTGGGTCTGGAGCGTCAACTCTTAATTCTCAAACTTTAAAATTGCTACATTTTGGAACAATTCGGTCATTTTACATTAAATTTCGTGATTTGATTCATAAGATTGAGTTTATAAACGCTTTAAAATGCTACAAAATTTTTTGTACCAATAGCGAGTATGACGGAAGTTCGTTTCTCCGTCAGTAGCAGCCAATAGTCGTATAGTGTAATACATGAATGTTCATTTGGGCCATTACAGAATGAATTGAACAATTAAGTTTCCAGGAAATAATGTACAAATCGTTGAATGTAAATTTAGATTTTATTAAGCATAATTAGTGATTTAGACAATGGCCATTTCTTCATCAAAAAAATAAGAAATCCCTTAAAGGGATGAAATCAGAATACTCTCTATTGAGATATCATACAGCCGGAATATCATTTCTGACCGTTAGACATTGAGACTGGGGAGGCCCCAAAGGGCTCCCAGCCTCCACAAATTTGAAATTAAAAGTGCATCTAATTATTCTCAACGGACAGAGAAAGTATGGGAAAGGAAATCCAAAATTGGCGATTTATCCTAATATACCATAGCCAAAACGAAGCCAACTAGCATATCAACATGGGTTTAAAAGAACACCTTGGCGATCACGAGTCGCCAACAAATTTATGAGAATTATTACAACTATGCAACCGAAACATTTAGCCATTGGAAATTTAGAATAAAAAGTTATAAATAGATTTTTGTTTTCGATTAGAGGCGACAGTGAATTTATAAGTCTGCATTAGTAATGAAATAAATAAAAGTATCCGTTACATTGATTTAGAAGATAAGAAATAAATATTTTATGTTCGTTTAAAAAGATTAAGTTTTTGATTTATTTTAAATATAATTCTTCTATTAATAAAAATAAGCTTAAGTAATGAAAGATATTTTAAAAGGGTAGGAAATAAATATGTAATGCCAATTGTGGCATCACAGCGAGAGACAAAAGTGAAGCCAAAGATAGAAATTCTAATCCTATTTATCTATTTATCGAATTTACATTGGTTTTTTGCTTTTCTTAATCAGATAACTTATTTACAGGTTGTGAAGAAGCTTCTTCCATATCCATATGACACAAATTGCATTGATTACTTATCTAGATGGAAGGAAAGAGGAGGCAAGGGTCCGATAGATAATGAAGTAAGAAGAATAGCTAGAGTTTTTCTCTTCTCATCTTGCCATATATCTTAGAGTAGAAAGAAAAGAAAAACGCTATCGGTGATTAGCGCTATTTTCAAAGCGCTATTTATACGTTATAGTTATTTTTAAAATGCTATAGAGTGGAAAAAATGCTTAATGTAAAAGGAAGAAATCTGACTTATTAAATACTCAAAATGGAATGATTAATGATACTTAAAACTTAAAAAGACTGAAAGATTTGCGAATTTCTGTCAAATTCGTTTAATACCACTGAAAATTGTGCAATCGTCACACTCTAGTTCCTTATGCCTATTTTCTGGTTTAAGCAAGTAGCATATATTAACGTATCATTTTTAATTCAATAATTACTAATTTCTCAATGAGCTTAAAAAGCAGGAAGTATATAAACTTTTTCATGTTTTTCGCCATTTACTGTAGGGGTTAATCAGCCGCCATATATCGACATGCTTTAGTTTCTTATGTTCATTTTATGGTTTTAAAATGGAAATAAATAAAAAATATTTATTATTTTAAAGCATATCAGTATTGCGATGTGTTAAGAAAAACGCGAATAACGTAACTTTTCTCCAGTTTCTTGCTTTATGCCACCATGGCTTATAAGCTGCCACATAATGAATCAAAGAAGAACATCCTACAACTGGGACATGAAAGGATTTCCTTCTCAGAAAATTGTCAAAATATGAATGCTGCATTCAAGAGAAATCCTAATTAAATTTTAAATCGAAATAAACAGCAGACGTGTCAATTTATCTAAAGGAGCTAGGACACTAAAACGAAAAATATAATGCTTATGGAACGAAAGATCTGGTTATATATCTTCTAACTACAGGATTGTTCTTATATATGGTTATCGTATATACAATATATACAATTATCATTAAAACGAAGAACTAGCACTTAAGCTGAAGCTAAACGTAAAGCAGAGTTTTTTCACTCTTGAGGCTTTCCTTACCGGTTTCACTGATTTCTCGCAATTTGGAAACTTTTTAGTGTATAAATATGTTGAGTTACACTCATATCAATAAATTAAGCATAATTCAGAATCCCACGAAAACTGAATTCTGAAGTAAATCTTTCAGCTGTAGAATTATCGTGCACATCTTCAAAAATATTATTACAGGATATTACAGGTAACCATCAAATGACGCTGACAGTATGTCATAATGACGAGAGTATAAGACAGGAATGGCAGTATCAAGAATGGTGGTAAATAAGTAAAATTGTTAACAGGTTATCTGTAAGCCATTCGGTGCCATAACCGAATAGTTATGACGCGGAAGGCGCACATGGAGGATTTTTACGCGCTAGAATTATCTGCAGTCAAAAGTATGAGCGTATTCATATGAAAGTATCTGAGGAATTACCCATCATTCTATCTCTAGGCTAAGCGTTTCATTATGATGGAAATATCAGTAGACGTTATAGTACATGCCGTTTTTGAAATACATTGTCAAATGAAGATCATTATTTGACAATAACAGCCAAAAGTAGCAGACAAAGCTCAGCATTCGAAATGCTTCGTCAGCTGTTTGCAAACACGGCTACCAGAGCTTCAAGATACACCGAGTCCAAACTTCAGTCCATATACTCGCAGGCCTGTCAGATTTTTTCCACCCACGGCAACTTGTCGTTGCCAGCGCTTAGCTTGGAGTAGAGATCATGCTATGTGGAAATAGTAACAGTGGGTTTGTGGGATTTTTCAGACAAGTCAAGGTTTAGTCTGCTGTCAGATTCAGGACAGAATTTTAAATGGATAACACTAGGTACTCGTTACCACCAAGACAACATCATTAAACGACAGTTTTACGGTGGTACAGGATAACTCGTTTGGGGTGAAATTATACAAGGCTGCAGATCTAAGAACTGCATTTTCCAATCGGAACCATGTTAGACCAAATTTATCGGAGCGTTATCCAGGAACAACATGCTTGGACGAAGAGTCTCTGCCTGTCTGTCACCACATTTATGAGTGCCGGAATATAGGAGGAGAGGAATGCTTGCTGTCTGCAGAATCTGAAGTTCGAGAATCTGATACCTAGCATACCTGATCGTTGTACTGTGAGCACGGGCCACCTTTAATAACTTTTGTTGTAACGTTCGGACTTCTGATTAATTAGTTACTGTACTTACTGAACTTACTGATTCGAAGGGGTAACCTCAAATATGCTAATTATTTAGTGTAGACGATATTTTAAGTTACGAAATCAGACACAAATAATTGCTTTCCCTGAATAAACTTTGGGTCGAAATTTTGGGTCCCTTAAGATAAATTACTATGATAATTTTAATTTTTGCGTATTTCGCTATATCTTGAGAAATTTATAAGGGAATAGAAAATTTTTTGCAAACAATTGTAAAATTCATTTATCCAAACATAATTCCAAGCAAAAAGAACTTTTAATAAATATTTATTATTTTATAAAATATTGATTATAAGGTATAAAATGTTTTATATCATTTTAAAGAATATTATTTCATTTGACAAAATGCGAAACCAGTAAGCAGAACATATAAAATACTTAAACATATAAAATACTGATTTTTGAAATTTGATAACTCTCAGGAACTATTCGATCGACAAATATCTATGTATTTATATATATATATATATATATATATATATATATA